ATGCATTCTTGTTTGAATAAGCATTGTGAATTTCTGGGACGAAATTCCCGTTAAGGGGGGTGAACTTGTGACACCGCACTCGGATGTACTTGAATTTGAAATTCAGTATGTATTTGAATTTTTCTAGCGAATGTTTCGTGTAAAAGAATGACATATTTAATTAATGAATGATTAATTAAATTATTTATCGGATCCATAATATTGAGAATGGACTACCAAATATTTAGTTGGGTCATCATAATAATTATAGAAGCCCAATAAAATGTCAACTAAGGTTGAGGAAAATGATTGGGCAACCCGAATGCAATTTCGGCCCAACCTGCCAAAAACAGCAGGAATAATTTGGAGAGACTTTCTACACACACTTGGGGATATTTTGCAAGCCTCTTAGACTCAAATAATGAGGAGGAGGACATGAAGTGAGGGTGTTGTGCGGACCTGTGGTGGAAGGGATGGCACAAGACATGTGCACACCCCATATGGACCCATTTTTGGCAATCAAATTAGTCTTTGATTGAATAGGAATACTTCCCCCTATTCGTTGTGCACCACTCGGCCATATCAAGAGAGGAAGACCTCTAGGAAGAGCTCTCACAAGGTTCAAGGTTGGAAGAAGCAAGAGGAAAGAAAACCCAACACAAAAGGTTAGGATTTGAGGTAAGAACACAACTATTATCCTTTAACTAGTTTTGTGTTGATATGATTTTTAAGAAATCATATGGTGGATTAAATGTGAAGTTCTACACATTTAAAACTGTAGAATATTGATATAAAGTGGTGGTATTTAACTTAGAAAAGTTGTGGAATCGATAGGAGTCGAAACCACCGGAAAACCACCATTGTTGGGGACTGTTTTCGAGCTGTAGGCCCGAAAGCCGCCCACCTTTTGCAAAAGCCGCCCGGCTTTTGGATGCTCCCCAGTTTTTCCACTTTCAATCGGCCTAGAACGGGGATTGATCAAAGGGCTTAACAAAGGCAACTATTGTAGCACATCACAAGGTGAGGATGACTGACTATATTGCTTATAATTAGTGAGTTAATTTCATAAGATTACCTAAGGTAATTAAATGTTATTTTCATGGATTATTAATGATTAATAATGCCTAAGTGAAAATACTATTGATATGAGAAATGAAGCATGATATACAAATTTAGAATAAATTGTGTATGATTATGTGATATGAAAGTGATGGCATGGTGATGGGATTAACTATAAAATGTTGTGATAAAATATACTTTTACTTCATGTAAGGAATTCATGAATGGATAAAAGTGATATTTTTGATATTGTGATTAAATCATATTTGGATTGGAAAATCATTTGAGATGAATTATTTGGCTATGAATTAAGAACTTGGTTGTTCTAAGATTATCCGACTAGTATTGAAATACTAGTCGGGAGATTATTATAAATAAATGATGGAATTAATCCTAAGAGATAGGATTGTGAATAGAGATGCCTTAAGTAGTCTTGAGAGATACTTTAAGGTCGAATTGTACGAACACTAAGGTGTGTTACGGGTAGGCCTAAAGGCTACCCAAGTGAATTGATTCTAGGCATAGGAATAGCTTGAGAATTGGACTATGAAAATAAATTAGAGTCAGACTCTAGGATTGCATGGAAATGTAGTTGGGCCGAGCCCTTGCCATGTAATGTGAGTAGCATGGAAACGTAGTTGGGCCGAGCCCTTGACATGTATTTGTGACCTTCGTGAAAACATAGTTGGGCCGAGCCCTTGCCACGAAGTTATGGTTGGTATGGAAACGTAGTTGGGCCGAGCCCTTGCCATACAACTCTGATGTGTTAAGTTGAGCTAACGGATTGTATAGAAATGTAGTTGGGCCGAGCCATTGCTATACAATTAGGACTCGAGGGAACCCTATGGGGTTATCGTGGCATATGGTCACGGGGAATGAAAATGGTAAATTTTAAATGAATAGGGGCCCACGGGCCAGCTACTTGATTTTATATAAAGTAAGTATAATTTTGAAAATAAAAGGGGTAACTGAGGGTTATGACCTATAATATAATATCATCCCTAGATTGAGGGTCTTAGAAATTGAAACATTGATTATACTTATTATAGTTGTCATTGTACTTGTCAAATGTTTCCAAGTACTGACCTCCCCTTCACGGGGGAGGCCACCTCACAGTGTCAGGACGAACGTGAAGGTTACTACCATCACCCGTTGCACCGGGAGGATCAAGAGAAGAAGACGTGATTCGTGCTTCTTCTGTTTTCTAATTTCAAAACAATTATAATAATGCTCATGAATATTATTTTCTGAATAATTATTTAGGGGCTTGTATGCCTAATGATGCCAAGTGTGGCTCGAACACTTGTAATATTGTTTCCGCTGCTTTAAATGATTATTTTACATTATGTTTGTTTATGGATGTACTATGTGTGAATGGTATTCAAGACGCCTTGTATAGTATGGATGAGTTGGACTGCGGTTGACTATTCGTACTGTACGGCGGGTTGTTGACGTGCCCGGGTAGGTCCGAGGCGTGACTGTACTATCAACTAATAACCAACCGCTGATTGTCAAACACCTCTAATATTAATTAAACAAAAAGATTTCGTACGGCATGGGAACTGAGATAAAACTTTCAATTTGTCGTGGCAAGTTACCAAGACCAGGGGTGGAGGTAGGTGAAACTTTGGCCCCTATCCACCCCAAATTCAAAGTTTATTTCAATGATAGTGTAAAAATTTGTCTAAAATTCTTTTTTGTATCGATCCAACCCATCTCAATGCCCTTGCTATGCTCGATAATCCATCCTTGTTTATTCATTGCTTCGACTGTTCTTTATTTGTCCGTTAATAATTTATGGGAAGGATTTAATTAACTGTTACATTTTCATTTTTATACTTACCTTACTTTTTTATACGGTCTTTCATCAATATCACATATGTGCTTTTGCAAAACAAAAATATGATTATTCTTTTTCAAAATGTGAATAACCTTTGTTTTAGTAATTCAAAATTCATCTCCCTCTAAGACTATTTGGAGTGATAAGGTATTAGGAGTCCAAAAAGTTAAATGTGGAGTTCTTGGACTCCTAATTATGTGTAGTGGAAGTTTAAAAGGGGTCTTAAAAGTAGGAAAGGAGATGGAGGAGATTAAATATAGAGGTGAGTTTAGAGGAGTGGGAAAAGGAAAAATAAGGGGGGAAATAAAAGAAAGTTGGCGGCCATGTTTTCTTTTGATTAGGATGATGTCATGCTGATGTCATCCTTGCATCATAATATCCCAAAAACTTTTAAATTTATATAAAAAAATATTTGTCCTCCAAATTTTTTAAAAAATATATAAAAATTCATATTTTTTATGATCTTTCATATGACACCAATAGTTAATATATAAAATGAAAACATAATTTAAGTTTTAATTGTTGAAGTTTTCTTGAGCTTAAAAAAATACGAAACACAAATTTTTAATTCATGGGCCTTCACAAATAATTGAATATTCCATAATCGAACTTTACTTGAACTAAGTTCATTTTTTGTTAACCGAAAAATGCCAAAAAAAATAATGAAATATATTTATTTTTACATCAAAATATGTATTTTTATTTCATAATTATTTTGTGGAAAAATTAAAAGGAAAACATTACTTATAATAATTTAATTAATGTTTTACTAAATTGGTATGTAAAAATATGCTAAATATATTTTATTGACGTTGTTGGACTGCAGGGAAATATGAGTCTAAACAATGTTTTCATATGGACGAATAACATTTTGGCCTCTACACCACTACAAATGGTCTAATCTGTTTTCCTTGCTCAATTGTCCACTCATCACACACTAGTGCTATAGGTAGCAGTTGAGACAGAAAGCACACTAACAACACTAATGCTAAAGGTACCCCAAAATGGGGTACCCATTCTTACCCCGGCCTAATGTGTGGCCATAAATGGGGCAACACATTTAAGTGGGGCACCACTTAAGTTTGTTGTCCCATTTATGGCCACACATTAGGCCGGGATAAGAATGATGTACCCCATTTTGGGGTACCTATAGCATTTCTCCAGAAACCATGACTAAAAGTCATATTTGAAATAATAAAATAAAAATTTTTAATTAGATTTGTACAAATAAAAAAGAAATTAAATAATAAAAATCAAACATTTGATTTTTTTAAGTGACAATTTATTTTGATCGGAGTGAGTATGTAAACCTATATTTGGAGTAAAGTTTGATGCTAATTAAGTATTGGAAAATTGTCAATATCATTTGATCAAAATCGATTTCTACAAACTTACAACCAGCCGAGCCTTGTAACGATCAACTGAACCATCAGATTTGTACTTAATTTTGTATAAACGTAGAACATTACATAAGAAATTAAGGGGGTGTAGCCCATTATGAATTTGATGGATTTTAAAAGATGATGGATTTTAAAATCCGTGCAAATAAGTATCAACAGAAATCCACGAAATGTTTGAGGACACCCTTATTTTCGTGGATTCCACAGAAATCCAAATCGGGGACACCTAAATTCTGACGGAATTCTTAACTCCATTAAAATCCTTCAAAATCCGAATTGGGACACCCTTAAGTTTAGAACAAACAAAAAATAAAAAAGTGATAAAGTATGTGTTTAGTCCTGGACCCCCGACCCACATACTCTAACCATTCCAGAGTAGGCCCAGCAGGCCGCCTAAGTCGAGGGAGCGATCAACCACCCCTTGGTTGCGCCTCTACACAGTCGAAGGCCACAACAACACACAAAATGGACTAGGGACAAAACTCACCCTGAAAGATCCACCTTCCCGATGACCCCTCAGCCTGGACCTCTGAATTCACCCGTGCATAGCTCTCGGATCCACATTTAATGCCCCATCATGTTTCTGGTTTTACCTCACTTTTGAGTTTTGAGTTTCGCTCCATATATTAGCTTACAAGTTTACGTGCATTATTTAATGCAATTAAATTCGAAGTTACTAGCTCTGACATCTCCCTACATACCGCTAGTGATATTCTGACTTAGCCATGAAACAATATACACAACTTCTTTAACAATGGGTGATAAAAAATGTACACCATTGCATGTAATATAGCTCAAGTTCTGGAAAAAGGATGACACATCATCCCTGAGGGGCCCCAACACCGACCTGACAGTTGTGGACGCTATATATATGTGTAGAATAGTAGTACAAAATAGAGTGAACTGCTTTCAAGGTTCCACCAAATCCAAACTAAACTGTATATACATTTTACTCATCTTTTTTGGGGTTTATTATCCACACATTTTAAACAGAGAGAGCATATCATATCATGATTAAGCTAAGAGACAGAGTGGCGCCTTCTCTTCTGAAATTGAGACCGGCTTTCGGAATTAGCCTTCCCCCCGAAATTTCTGGGGTCCATCACCCGGAACAACCCGTTGATTTTGCATAGTTTCTTGGTTAATGATTTGAGAAACTTGTTTGCCCGGTGCGGTCTCACCATATCCGCCTTCATCGAGATGTGGTCCTTCTCTAAATCCGTCAGCCTCATCCTCATCCTCGCCACTTCGAGTTTCAACTCTCTATTCTCCCTTCTCACCGACGCGTAGTTGTCTCTCGGTGAGATGCACGTGCTCCCCGCCGCACTGCCATTGCGGTGGGGAGGGAAGTTCCATGAGCCGTTGAATGCGGCATGGCTGCTGTTGTAACCGCTGCTGCTGTTCATGGCATTCCGAAGTCTGATCTGTTCAAAGTATAAGACTTGGACCGCCATTTGGACCGGTAACCTTTCATTTTGAGCCGCATGGCTGCATGCTTCTTGTGACATCTTCTGGCAGTCGATCGTCTTCCAGAGTCTATACTTTTCTGTGTCCTTCAAGTGTGGATGAACCTGAGATACACAGTTCAATCTGTCATTATTAATTTGTTTGACGAAATATACCGAGTAAAAGTTTTGTTAGTATTAAAATAATGGAATCATAACAATCTTTGATTGGACTAAGGATGTTTTTACTTGGACTGTAATTTGCTCGTCTGGTCTGGTCTGGTTTCTTTGTATTTTTATAACTATTCAAGTCTGGTCTGATCTGGTCTGATCTGGTCTGGTCTGGTCTGAGAGAAATTACAGTCCAAGTAAAAACATCCTAAATACAATAGATTCAAAGTTTTGGTGTAATCCAATCTAAAAATCGCCGAAGCAGTGAATCAAATCTAAGATTGACATGTAAAGATCTAGTTTATGGCTTTAACTTTTTTGAAAGATTGACTCACGGTAATAAACTTTGTAAACGCTAGCAGAGACCGGAACCAGTTAGGACCGGAACCGGAATCATCATTTTCTGTGGATCAAAGACCGGACTTGAATCTAACCGGTCCGAACCGGTCTGGACCTGAATTTTCCGGTCCGGTCCGGTTTTGACCCTAATTGACCCGGTTTTAGAAAAAGACATATTCTCTTAGAGCGTTTTTAACCGACTCCAATTTTTTAGGAATAAGGCTTGAATGTTGTTGTTGTTTCAAACTATAATTTTATGTGCGGATATGCTAAATAGACTAAATAATTGTTTAGTTCATTTACTCCGTATTAATTTTGGAATATAGTCATCAAAACTATTCAATCGTAACAATTAGTTTCCCACAATAATTAAAACTACAATCTTTTGTGTATATTAAAATGGCAAAATCTATTGTAGATTAATAAAAACTAAATTACGTCCAAAAATATACTACGTATAAACTACATGCACACCTGCTAATAAAGAAACAAATAAAGAGCAATTTGGAAAAAACAAACAAATATAAACTAGGATCATAGAGTGCACACCTGCACATAAATAAACAAATAAAAAACAACTTAGGAAATAATTAGACACCAAATATACACTCCGTATATATTCGTTTATACAATAAAAGACAAAAGTAAGCCATAAACATAATGACTAATGATACAGAACGAAATATATATTTTACGGAACAATAATTTACCGGTCCATTCCGGTCCCGGCCTATTTTTCCCGGGTTTGACCCGGACCGGACCAGAACCCGGAATGTTGAAAAACTAAGGACCGAAACCCGGACCAGTTTATACTGGTCCGGTCCGGATCGGTTCATTCCGGTCTAGTTCAAGTCTAAAATAGGGTATGCACAGCCCTATACTCCGCATTTTATTAGATGGGTGATTCCATTTCCTTGCTATACCAATCAAAATGTAATTTTTAATGAGTTTGGTACATTGTTTCAATAACAAAATGTTTGGTATACACTTTTTTGTACACCATTCGCACATTTGTATGTATGCACGGACAAAATTGTTTGCATATAGACAATTCATCTCCATATAAAAGAGGTATAAACCAAACACTTTTGTTTGAATAAACCACCTCATGTGAAACTCAAGTTACCCTCTCGGTGTATTATGACTTCAAAGGTATTGATTAAATTTACTTTTTAGATTAGACAATGAGTTATACACCTATAATGAAAGGAGAGGAAGGATTCAGGAAGGACCAATATCAGCGATATGTAACTATTTTACAATGAAAATTAATCTTATAAGGCGACCGTTTGAGTAAAAATATAGTTTATTACAAAACACCTAATTGTTGTCTTGACTTTATGGATATGAGGCTTCCTTCCTAATGCTTTGCCATTACACGGGAGATTATATGGATTAGGAAGCCTATTAATAATTTGAAATTCGACATAATTTATTTTGATTAAATTCATATGTTGGGAATGTTCTAAGAGCAACCCCAATGGTATACTTTCTAGTGAAGGTAAATTATGCCAAATGTCAAATAAATAAAAGACTTTCTAGACATACTGAACTAACTAGACATTTAAATAAGAAAGAAGTCTCCAATGTATGTAGTCTCAAAACCCAATTTTGAGTGCCCAGGTTTTATTACTCCGGGTATACTACGTATTATTATTTTTCTCTACCAATTGCGGATCAAATTTTCCAATCTTCCATACTTCTTTTCTTTCAGATAATAAATCAATCCTTCATTATTTGTGTGGATGGCTTTTTCTTAACTCTTTTTTTCTCTGATTTAATTTCTTCATCTCGTTTACAATTATTTGTTTTTATCCTTTGATCTGGTTGCTACTTCTGCTGCTATAATTTTTCGATCGGAGGTTTGACGCCGACCAGAGAGCCTTCGGCTGTGGAAGCCGCTCAAAATTTCAAAGAAGAAGAAGCACATCGTACTACATCAAGACTTTGTTATATCCGTGTGTTTGGCATTTTTAATGGAAGAGTAACAGTGAAAGAGTTAGTTTTAATAGGGTCAAAGAGGCGGAAGGGTTTTTTGTCGTAAAATATGTACATATCAGCATGTGAAGTAGCCTTTCTACACTTAGACGTTTCTCACGACAGTGTTCAACTTTTTTTTGCCAGCTCACCCTAAAACTACATGCGTTGGAAGCAAAATTTGTTACACAATGTCTCAAATGATGACATGGCATGTTTTACTTGCACTAGAAAGTGTAGCATTGTGGTTGCTCTAAGAGTTCACTTTTTATCTTCAATTTATCAGTATTATCAATTCGTTATTTATTAAACCGTTGCTTTTAGTTTCTCAAGTAAAAGTAAAAATAATATTTCAATGATATGCTTTTAGTTTAAAAATTGTGAGCAAATCCTCAAAATGAATCATTGAACTTCAAGATACATTTATTCAATTTGATGTGCTCTTTGTAGGATAATTGCATTAAAGAGCTTCAAGAATTATGGTGAATGAAGAGCTTGTTTAGTAATATCGAATCTATCGTAAGAAATAAGGATGCTGCTTTTATCCTTGCACTGGGCTTGAACCGGGATGAGATTCAAATTTATGACTTTTTCCTTTGTAGTGTCACGGTGATACTATTTTACCGCAAGATATTTTGCTTTTAGGCGATTTTCTTTGTAAAAAAAAGATGATTTTAGGTGATTTTCAAAAATAAAATAAATAAAAACGTAGTACTGTATAAATCGAGAATGAAAGGTAGCTGACCTTGAGGTAAATATCAACAGCTCTGTATAGTCCATCGCAGGACAAACGAGCATGGTCCGGAAGCAACTCAGCTAAAGCTATGAACTTTGATGGCGTCATGTTCGGATCAAGAGCAACTTCTGCCAGATAACTGTCCAGTAGTTTCGACACCTTAATGATTGTGCTATGTTTGGGAGATCCCGGGCTGTTAAAATCATAAACAGTTCCCGCTTCTTCCCCCACCAGATCGTTACCCTCTTCGTCTTCATCTCCATCTTCATCCCCCAGATGCAGAACTAATGAGAAAATCCTCATCACGCAATCCGCGTCATAGAGAGGGTCGTTTCCGTCTGGATGTGAACAGGGTATGAGAATGTCCTCAAGTATGGCCTGATCTAGTTGCAGACTCACGCGTCTCTCCAGATCGGACCGGCAAGAAGAAGAAGCCGAAACCGCTATTGCAGATTTAAGCAGGGTTGAAAGGAATGCGATTGGGACTGTCCCTTTCCTTGACTGAATTGGTAACAATCTGGTTAGGGTTTCGACTGTGAGCCTTTGTTTTTTGTCGAATTCCAAATCGCATAAACCTCCTTTAACTGAATGAGGATCTTTAGGGATTATTCCATGAAGAGAGTTTTGGGCGTAGTTTATCAAGATTCTGCTGATGATTTCCTGCTTGAGACCCTTCCCTTTGACTGCGGATATGACCCTCTGGAAAAAATCTAGGTTCAATACAATTAGCGAATTCCCCCAGCAATCTGAGAGCGTTTCTTCGTCAATGCTTTCGTTTGGATTGGGAGGGAAGGTGTGATCTAGCTTTAGTAAACCGGATGTGAGTTGTTCTTTGCAAGCGTTATTGGCTATGGAGTTGATTAACCTTGTGATGATGTCGTTTTTGTCCGTAAGCGGCTGGAGCTCTTCACAGCAGTGGAGAACAGCAATTGAGTTTGAAATTTTTGGTAAGACGATTTCCTTGAGAAACATTTCGGTCCTCATTTCGAGATTCCTTTCTGAGATTTCTTCTGTCATTTCCAGGAAGACGGCTATGCAATTCAGCATTGCCACGTTTGACAGAGTGACTTCAACGTTCACTCCGTAGCAGAACTTCGCTGCCAGCTCAAACGCCTCTGCCCCGCCTGGGATACCAGACAGATTCATCCTTGTAATCTTTGATTCCTTTGCATCTGCAAGTAGTTTCCTTATTCTCCCACTTCTTGAAACCAGAGGAAACTGCACAAATCAACAAAAGAACATCAAATGTTTCCATGTATGTTCATTTAGACTTGGGGTTTTAATCGATAGCAGAATTAATCTAACATCTTATATATGTGAATTTTATATTTAAATTGTGCCTGTATGAAATGATTGGACTGTGTTAATTAAGTCATTTCAACTTAATGAACCATATGTGCACTACAAATCAATGCATAAGACATTGGGCTAAACAAACATAATCCATGCTGTACTTAGAATTTTTGTAATTTTTACCTTATGAAGCGTGAAAGTGGTACTTCCTACTTCGACAGTAAGATCACTAGAAACATCTGATAATGACCTGCAAAATCAAGAATTGTGGGAAAATGCTCATGGAATGTGCAATATAAGAAGAAGAAGAGAGCTCTTATAAGCAATTCAGCAGCAGATCCCGTGATCTTTCTCCTGTTATATGTATATATATATATATAACAATATATGTGTGAAGTTACTGATAGTTTCAACCCAAACAGATTCCTATTTTGAGACGAGAAAATTTAGCATTAATTAGTTTTATAAATTGATTTGTTCCAATTATTTAGTCTGAGCACATACATTCAAATATATGTTGAAGGTTTCCTACCATTTTCTAATTTTTAACACGTAGAGTTCCCACTTCCCACCAAATGAATGTTCTAAGGACTAAAGAGTAGATGTCAACTGGAGAAGTTTAAAGATCATATGCTGGTCTGAATGTTAAAGATCACATACCAATCAGTAGCCCCATGCCTGAAGCTTGAATTGGGCCGGAATGGGCGCTTTCCATAAGAGATTGACTTTGGTTCTGCAATTGTAACAACGCCCATTACTCTCCCCTTAGATGTTTGAAGAGAGATCAAAGTGATGGAGGAAGAAGAAGAAGAACAAGAAAGATAGGAAACCAGGAGTTGAGGGAAACATTTGATAAGTGTTTTGAAATTGGTAGTTTTCGTACATGCTAAAGTCAAGATATGCAATAGTGGCACAATCAGGGGTGTTTCTTTTAGGGCTCTTTTTGGGGTTTCTGGTTTTTTATGTTTTTATGTTTTTCTATTTACAAATCATGATGTTGTGTTTGATTAGAGATCTTGATGGATTCCGGAATGGTTGCAGTGCTTTGGGGGTTTGTAATCATAGTCAGTGACAGCTGCCTCTTGCTAGAAAGTCTAACTGGTAAAAGTTGAGTCTTCTTTTTAACAAATGTGTGTTCTACACAAAATGTGTACATAAAATGTGTACATCTAACATCTTTTCTCCCGCATACAAGTTGTCTATCCACAGACAACTTATCTGCGGCGGACAGACAAGTATACATAAAAAGTGTACGCATTTTGTGTACACCTAGCAAAATTTCTTCTTTTTTGTCTTTTTAACATCTTCAATATTGGTTGTAATAAGAATTATACTCCCTCCGTCCCATAAAATTCTTCTCATTTTCTTTTTTTGTCCGTTCCAAAAAAATTTTCTCACATACCATTTTTGGACAATTTGTGTGGTTCACATTCATTTCATCTTTTTCTTACACAACCACAACCATACATTTCCATTTTCTTAATCTCCGTGTCAAGTCAAAGTGGAAAGAATTTTATGGGATAGTACATTTTTTGTACACACCATCTTCTTCTTCTTACATAAGTTTGTAAGCAGTCATTTTTTGTTTTGAATAGCCTGTTTACAAATAAACTATGTTTGTCCGTGACAAAAAAATAGTTGTTTACAGACGTGAAAGTGTCTACAAATACTTTTTTCTCATTATAAAAGATAATTAGAACATGAAACAAATGATTAGTGGGGGTATGAATTACTGTGAGAATTTGACGACTTTTACCAATTCACCCTATCCTTAAATGTCGGATTAAGTAGTCTTGCCTTTACTTATCTATCATTTGATATGTTATTAAAGATGGCCATCTTATAGTCTTTTTAAGGGAAAAGGGGCAAATAAGGCCACGTACTAACCAAAAAAGATCAAATAAGGCCTTATTTATGAGGTTCTGTCCGGCCATCGCCATTTGGGGTGGTTTTCGGTGGAATTTTTTGATGGATTTTTTTTGACCATCTTATTCATTAAGTCTAGTTTACTCATACCGAATTTCAGATAAAAATTTAATCGAGAAGGCATTCAAATGAATTCTTGAAGATAACTGCGCTTTTAACTGCGCAATTATCTTCAAGAATTCATTTGAATGGCTTCCCGATTGAAGTTTTAGCTTAAATTTGATATGAGTAAACTAGACTTACTGAATAAGATGCTCAAAAACTTTCATCAAAAAATTCCAGCGAGAACCAACCCAAATGGCGAAGGCCGGACAGAGCCTCATAAATAAGACCTTATTTGAACTTTTTGTGTTAGTACGTGGCCTTATTTGCCCCTTTTCCCTCTTTTTAATACACATTTTCTTATTTCACCAAAAGAATATATTTCTAATATATATTTCTTAATTTTACACTTGTAGTCAACTCTGCAATATTAATCACAACTTCAATAATCCTTATTAGTTTCTGTCAGGCTTTTTTTGTATTTAGCTCATCCATCAATGTCTCAAGAAAATGAAAAGTTTACTTTCTAATAATGTGATTTAAGAGATTAGAGATAGCGAGATACAATGTCAAATCTAAGATTTGGATTTAATAGATATATAATCATCAAGACATGCATATCTATGCCCATGTCCTCATTCTTTAAACAAATTGAATTTTCAACTAACCTATTAAACGAAGATTTTATTAAATTTGTTGGGTAGGATTTTCTTTAGTTCCTTTGACTATAAATTAGAAACAAGCTACTTACCCAATTTTCTTTAGTTCCTTTGACTATAAATTAGAATTATTATACATTGAGTGGCTTTGGTTATATATACTGGCATGTTTGAATTAAAGGAATAAATTAAAATGCACAAATAAGATTAATATGTTTCAAGTATAACTTAAACCATTAGAAGGCTGAACTATGACTCTAGAAATGAAATACTAGTGATATTCTTTACATAAAATAGTACCGCCTCGTCCAAAATATTAGGTTGTTTTGAATTGGAATGTAATTTGACCCAGATCAGACCAGATTAAAACAAATCAAACCAGACCATACTAAAATAGATCAGACCAGACCCGATCATATTTTATTATTATTATTATTATTATTATTATTGTTATTGGTGTTGTTGTTGTTATTATTACTAGTAGTAGTAGTATTTGTATTATTATTATTGTTATTATTATTAGTAGTATTAGTATTATTGTTATTATTGTTATTATTACTAGTGGGGGCTTTGGAGTTTGGCCTTTATTGTTCATCAATAATTAAATTAGTTTACTAAAATTAAAGCCTAATTCTACGAAGTATTTATGGATTATAATATATATAAAAAATAAAATATTTTTGCAAAAAATATAAAAAATAAAATTTCATACCAGACCAGACCAGATCAAGTCAGACCAAAATAGACCAGACCAGACTAGATTAAAACAGACCAGCAAATTACTCGAACTCAACACGTAACTTTTAGCTGTCATCAAAATGCTTAGAATTGTATATTGTTTGCTGAATTGAAAAAGTTTATCAAATGTAACTTTTAGCTGTCAATTTTGTAAAACCGGTTAAGGTCTAATTTTCTAGGTTAGTTTTTTAATAATTTTAAACAACTTAGTAGTATGTTAGGCTGGTCTCACTCTAGATAATCAGAGATGCTCCCAAATTGACCATAATTTAGGAGTTGCTTATTCTTATTCTTATTCCTTATTCTAATTTATTTCAAATTAGATTAGATCAGTAAAGATCAAATGAAAAAATGACTATGATCCGATCATATCGGAAAGATTATGATCAGATCAGAAAGATGCATACTAACAGATCAGATCGGAATCATTCAGAAAAGTTCAGACGTGGATTATTACTTTTATTATTATTGTTGTTGTTGTTGTTTTATTATGATTATTATTTTTATTAGGAGGTATTATATTTATTCTTGTGATTTTTATTTGTTGTTGTTGTTATTTGTATGTTGTTAAAAATAAAAACACAGTCCTTGCTATTAATATTTCAAAATGATAATCTTATTACACTATATTATTATTAGAATTTTTCTATGTTATTATTTCTTAAAAAACGACATATTGTGTTGTTATGGTTATTATTAATGAATATTTTTAATACATCACTTTGATATTAATATATTGTTGTTGTTAATATTTGTATGTTAGTATTATCATATAAATGTAGGTTATTAGTATTTATAATTTCATAACAATAGTAACTATACTAATATAATGGTATTGGTAACACTTATAATAATGATAATCATAATTATACAAATAAGGACAACAATAATGATAAAATGATGATATTATAATTATAATTGTAATTATAATTACAGGTAAAATTATAATTATATCTTTAATTGTAATTATAATCATAGGTATAAATATATATGTAATTGTTATACTTAGAGTTATAATTGTAATTATGATTACAATTATAATTATTGTGATAATTACTCGTATAATTATAACCAACGCTTAATAATATAAATAATAATAATTTAATAATAATAATAAACACTCAATCAGATCAGGAATTTTCACATTAGATTAGATCAGAAAACTTTAAATCAGATAAGAAAATTCATATCGAATCAGACGAGTGAAACAGCTTCTTAGTCCCAATTAAATTAGAGGGTGTTTGGATCTGATTCTCAAAACTGATTCTGCTCCTTCAGGGAGCAGAAGCAGAAGCTGAAGTGTTTGGGTGAAATTAGAGAAGCACTTCTGGTGCTCTAATTTACTCTCAGAATCAGTTTTTTTAGAAGCTGAGGGGTACCAGCTTCTGAAAACTGATTCTGATTCTGCTTCTGCTTTAAAAAAGAAACAGAATTAGAATCAGTTCCAAACACCCTCTTGGTCCGATCTAAGTGGTGCATGTGGTCACGTAGTTCTCAAACCAAAAACCAGTCCACCCCAATATTTAAGTAGTTCTACAAGACTTGAGAGGTGGACATATGAGATTTGCTACTCTCTACTCTTCGTATCATAATAAATGTATCACTTTCCGTTTTAAGACGTATCAAAATAAGTATCTCACTTTGATTATTGAAAATAGATTCACTTCCAAAGCAAACAATATTGGTTGAGTACCAAAACTCTCCTACTTCTTCGAAATGTGTACAATAAACCTATAAATTATCTTAAACTACGTGAAAAGCCTATCGGAACGCTTATTCTATTACTGAGGGTGTAATAAAGAATTGTTAAGGCATTATAACTGCATGACAAAATATAAGAGATTAATATATATTCTACCCTTTGTCCATGTCTGGTTTGGTGGTTTCCCTTTCCTTTTTCTCAATCAATAATTTCAATAAAAGTTCAGATTTTGCTAGAGACATCAAGTCATTCATTTGTAGTTCAAATGTGTTGTTGTAAGAGGTTTTCAATGCAATCTGGATTTCAGATTTAATTCGACTTCTATTGGCAATAAAATATAGAGGCCGTTTGGTAACACTGTTTATCGGCTTATCAGGTTTATCAGCCAACTTTTTTACCAAACACGTAACTTTTGCTTTCGCGCGCTGAATTGTGTAATAAGCAGAAAAAGTAAGGTTGGAGTTACTTTTCTGGCTGTATTGGCTGAAGTTACTGTAGATGACCATTTTAGCTATTTTTACATATAATTTTTTCTTTATTTTATTAATAAAATATATTTAAAAAAAAAATCTTAAATCAGCAGAATCAGCCAATGCAGCCACTTCAACCAGAACTTCATCAATTTCAATAGAATCAGCCAAATCAGCCGATTTTCGTACTACCAAAAAGGCTCATAATCTTGGTTCAATCTTGGTCCAATAAAATATAATCTAAATACGATGTGTGACCTAAAAAGTACTCCGTATATATTGTACGCGTTAACTTACCATCCATGTTTTTAGAAACAAACATTTTCTTTTGTTTCATAGCCCTCGAATGGATGGGGACCTGAAGGTAGCACGTGGCAGATTGATAATTAAGCACAAATCATTGTCGTTTAGCCTACTTACAGAGTATTAATAAACAAGAAAGGCTCCAAGAATTACTCTCAAAAAAAAGGCCCCAAGAATTTAAAAATTATAACAATTGGAGATCATCCATTCA